ATAGAAGTCTCTTGCCAAAAGTGAAGACTAGCCATAGCATTTGAGAAATGAAGTCGCATGAGGCAAAAAACAGGAAATGTTCAAGGCAAGTTTCTTATGTAAAGATCCATAATGAAATATTTAATAAGGTATCATTTAAACAAATTATGCTAGATAAAAATTTGCATTGTATTTTTTAGTCAAGGCAGAGTGGGGTTGAGGGAGTAAGCCAGAGACGGAATTACTACCTGACTAAAAGCAGCTCTAAAATTGTATCACAGGTGTGTGATACGAAAAGAAGTGTAGAGAACAAAGAGAACAATTTCTTTTCCTTTATGCCCAGTTGAGTTTCTCTGCCCCAAATGGTTTGTAGAAGACCCTTCTTGCATACTGCCAACAAAATTTTCACATCCACTAGATATTCCAAGACTTATAAGTGTTATAAATAAAAAGCAAAAAGGGGTCATTTCTAATCGCACAAAAAGGGGAGAAGAGTTTTTGGACTGAAATTCTCGAATTGCCTTTAGCAGAAAAACGAAGCCATTTTAAAAATACTTGGCACAAAAATTTTTATTCAAGTAAGTGTTAGGTTAAGGGGAGTTAAAAAGAAGGTTTTTCTAACAACGCTTTTTACAACCAAGAGCCATCTAAGGTTAAAGTGGGCTTCCAGATAGTGAAGAGGCATCTGTGGCCAGCCCTTCCTAAAGAAGCTCCTTAAATCAGGGTGTGGCAGACAGAGTTGGTGGAACTTGTCACCACCTAAGAGAATTAGACCATCTCTGGAAGGACCAATGATTAATAATCAGATGGCATTTCTTCATTAGAAAAAAATGAGTATCTCAACAAAGAAAATGCCAGTTAAAATATCTTACTCTGCAAATTCTGCAACTGCACGAAAGGAGAAAATCTGCTTTGGTTCTATAAATTGAAAATCATGAAGTAAGCCAAGTTAAGTAATAGTTGTCTATCTAGAACCTCCAAATTTTGTTTGCATTAGAATTTGAATACTGAAACTGATTTTCTCCTACCTCAACAAATCTTCAAATGTTGACCAACTGGGTCTTTATATCATATTCATTCATAAATACCTTATGAAAAGTGATTGCATCTCAATTCTTATAAGAGGATCACAAATAAGATTCTTCAAGAAAACAAATGTGGAGAGTAGGATCACAAAAACATTTTTTAACTAAGTAACACCTTTGGAAATGCTTTCTCTTTCCCCCCCCAACTCCTGTTGAAAAGCAGTAACCTTTCTTTAACTTAAGGATATAATGTTAGGGAATAATGTTAAAACAGTGGCCTATTTTTTTTTTTTTAATTTTACTTTAAGTTCCAGAATACATGTGCAGAATGTGCAAATGTATACGTGTATATGTGTGCCAAGGTGGTTTGTTGCACTTATTGACCTGTCTTCTAAGTTCCCTCTCCTTGTACCACACACTTCAATAGGCCCTGGTGTGTGTTGTTCCCCTCCCTGTGTCCATGTGTTCTCATTGTTCAACTTCTGCTTATGGGTGAGAACATGTAGTGTTTGGCTTTCTGTCCCTGTGTTAGTTTGCTAAGAATGATGGCTTCTAGCTTCATCCATATCCCTGCAAAGGACATGATCTCATTCTTTTTTATGGCAGCATAGTATTCCATGGTGTGTATGTGCCACATTTTCTTTATGCAGTCTATCATTGACGGGCATTTGGGTTGGTTCCATGACTGCTATTGTAAATAGTGCTGCAGTAAACATACATGTGCATGTGTCTTTACAGTAGAATGATTCATATTCCTTTGGGTATATATCAAGTAATGGGATTTCTGGGTCAAATAGTATTTCTGGTTCTAGATCCTTAAGGAATCGCCATATTGTCTTCCACAATGACTGAACTAATTTACATTCCCACCAACAGTGTAGAAGTGTTCCTATTTCTCCACAGCCTCGCCAGCATCTACTGTTTCTTGACTTTTTAATAATCACCATTCTGACTGCCATGAAATGGTATCTCATTGTGGTTTTTATTTGCATATCTCTAATGATCAGTGATGTTGAGCTTTTTTTCATGTGTCTGTTGGCCACGTAAATATCTTCTTTCGAAAAGCGTCTGCTTATATCTTTTCCCCACTTTTTGATGGGGTTGTTTTTATCTTGTAAATTTAAGTTCCTTGTTAATTCTGGATATTAGACCTTTGTCAGATGGGTAGACTGCAAAAATTTGCTCCCATTCTGTAGGTTGCCTGTTTACTCTGGTGATAGTTTCTTTTGCTGTGCAGAAGCTCTTTAATTAGATCCCATTTGTCAATTTTGGCGTTTGTCTCCATTGCTTTTGGTGTTTTCACCATGAAGTCTTCACCCAGGCCTATGTCCTGAATGGTATTGCCTAGGTTTTCTTCTAGGGTTTTTATGGTTTTGGGTTTTACATTTAAGTCTTTAATCCACCTTGAGTTAAAAACACTGGCATATTGTATAATTGTATTCACTATATAAGAAGGGACAAATCTCTTATCAGGGATCTTTGAGTGAGGAAGTGTGTGTTAGTGTTCTAAAGACTGAAAGACTGAAACCCGTGGTACCAGTCTGCAAGATGACCCCAATAATTGCTGACTTCTAGTCACACCCTAGTGTAGTCTCCTCCCACATCAAACAGGGCTGACTTGTGTAACCTACAGGATATTGTGGGAATAACAGTGTATGACTTCCAAGGCTGTATCATAACACACATTGCAGCTTCCACCTTGTGCTCTCTTGGATGCTTTCTCTAGAGCAAGCTTGTCCAACTCATGGCCTGTGGACAGCACGCAGCCCAGGACAGTTTTGAATGCAGCCCAATGCAAATTCATAAACTTTCTTAAAATATTATGAGATTTTTTGATTTTTTTTAAGTTCATCAGTTATCATTAATGTCAGTGTATTTTATGTGTGGCCCAAGACAATTCTTCTTCTTCCAATGTGGCCCAGGGAAGCCAAAAGATTGGACACCCCTACTCTAGAGGAAGCCAACTGACAAGTCAGGGTGACACTTAAGCGACTCTATGGAAAGGTGCTCATGACAAGGAACTGAGGCCTCCTTACCATTCATGTGTGAATGGGCTGTCTTGGAAATGGATCTTCTTGCCCCAGTCAAGCCTTTAGATGGCTGTGACCCCTGTCAACATCTTGACAGCAATCACATGAGGCTTTGAGGCAAACTGTTCCCAGATTTCTGATCTGCCAAAAATGCTGAGATTATGCATGTTTATTCTTGTAAATCATTAAGTTTAGGATAATTTGTTTCTACAGCAATAGTTGACAGTCTTTTTTCCCCCTAAGAAATACTAACAGTGATTCAAATGAGCATGGCTATCTTAAGGCAAGTTGATGGACTCTGTGGAGTTAGTAGTAATTAGATGGAACCTTATCTCAATAAATTTGCAATCAGTTTCTTGTTTCTCAAAGTCTTGTACCAAGACCAGCAGCATTGGCATTACCTGGGGGCTCACTGGAAATGCAGAATCTCAAACTCCACCCCAGAGCTCCGGAATAGGAATCTGCATTTTAATGAGATTCCCCTATGACATGTAAATATATTAAAGTCTGAGAAGAAGCACTGATTTATTTGATTCCTGGTGTTACAGCCTGTGGTTGGAAACTCTGGATATACCTTAGGGGTACTTTTAAAAAAATACGTTGGAGAAGCCCATCTGCAGAAATTCTGATTTAACTGACCTAGGTTGAGGCCTTTTAAGGTGGTGGCCCTAATGATGCTGCAGGATTTTCCTCTAGAAAAACTACATTGAAGCCTCAGATCAGCTCTGACTTCCTAGCATGCCCCAACCCCGCAAGAAGTTAGATATGCCCAGGTGTACGCCCAGAACTGCCTTGGGAGGAGTATTGTGCACAGAGCAGGAGTCCTCTCTGGAGCTGCCATGCAGGGAGTGTGTGTGTGTGTGTTTGGTGGGGCGCACCAACTTCACAGATGCTAAAGACCGTTGCATGTGCTTCTACCTTCCTTTATTCATGCTCTTCCAGGACTCAGTTCAACCCAAGAAAAAGCAACTATGCCTTTCTTCCTGAAAGGTCAGTTTGGATTGCTGTCTAGGGCCGCTCAGAAAACCAGGTGTTGAATGTTCTAAGGTTTCACGTGCCAAATGGGGACCAAACATTTTTGAGCTTTATCTTTCCTAATAACAAACTGCAAAGAACTAGTATTTCTCTTAAGTCCTTGGGAAAGATGTTTTTATTGTTGAATAGACACTACTGCACTAAGATTTCCACTATCATGGGTGCTCACAAATGACAGGCCTCTTAAGAAGCTTTAATTGACAACATTAAATATGCGGGTGGGGGAGTGGGTGCAGAATGTCTTTTTCCTTTGTTAGTGCATCCCAGTGACAGAAACAATGCCTGACACATGGTACGCTCTCGATAAATATTCGTTGATTACATAACCCCCCTACCACCCAATAACTTCTCATCATTCATTCAAAGTTACTGAACGTACCATATTAGCGAATCTGCAATGGGAACAGTGGAGGCTGTTTTCTCAAAGGATTTTCTAATACAGCAACATATGTGCTTTAAAAACAAAATAAATAGTGTGCCCCAAGCCAATGCTGGGCTGGGGTTTTCTGCGGTAGTTTGGCCTGGGGTCCTCACCAGGAGGCTGGCTGGGGATGTGCTCCTTGCCCTTGAATCTCCTTCCTTTGTAGTTTTTGGCCTGCGCGGTTACGTTTCCCAGGCGGAGGAGCGCGCGCCGCGGCTGCGCCCATTAGCGCGCGGCGCCGTGCAGGAGCCGTCAGGCGGGCGGGGCTGCCCGGGACCCGCAGGAGCCGCTCCTCCCGCGCCGGCGCTCGGCCCCCTCCTCCGCCCCCTCCTCCCTCTCTCCGCGGTTTGGCATCCCCCGGCCGGGAAGCCTCCTCCAGCGCTGACAGCCGGCGGGCGGCGGAGGGAGGCCAGAGCGCGGATGCTCGCCGGTGGGCCGGGCCTGACGGCTGCGTGGGAGGCGGGCTGCATTATTTCCCGCTAGGGCCGCGCTCTGGGGAAGGAAGGGGCCAGGCTCGGCCCTCTCAGCCCCGAACGGGCGGGATCCGGGCGCGGCCGAGGCGGCAGCGCTGCACCCCGGTCCGGGGCCCGCGCGACCCCCCCGGGGGCCTCTCCCACGCTCCGCGCCCCGCCCCACCCTTCCTTCCTTCCTCCCTCGCTTCTGCGCTCCTAGGAGCGCTCCGCGCCGCGGACACCCGAGCTTTGTGTGCGCCCGCGGGCCCGGCGCGCGCCTCGGGCGGCCCAACTTTGCCTCTCCCCGCCGGCTCCCGAGCGGGACTTGTGAGGCGTGGCCGGGTGGAGGAGGCGCTTGCGGGGGCGTGGGGCTCCCGGCGGGCGGGAGGCACGGTGCGAGCTGCGCTGGACAATGAGCTGGGCAGCTCGGCGCTGCGGCCACTTTTAGCTGAGGGCGCAGGCGGGTCAGCACCTCCGCGACTCCTCGACCCCACCTGCGGGGAGAGGGCGGGATGCCAGAGCCAGGTGTCCCGGCGCGTTAAGGGCCCTCGCGATCAGACGTCCCTGCACCGGCGCTCACACCCTTAGTCAGCCCGGAACGTCTTTTTGCGGAGAGCCCTAGGAGCAGCCGCGATGGCCAGCACCAGGAGTATCGAGCTGGAGCACTTTGAGGAACGGGACAAAAGGCCGCGGCCGGGGTCGCGGAGAGGGGCCCCCAGCTCCTCCGGGGGCAGCAGCAGCTCTGGCCCCAAGGGGAACGGGCTCATCCCCAGCCCGGCGCACAGTGCCCACTGCAGCTTCTACCGCACGCGGACCCTGCAGGCCCTCAGCTCGGAGAAGAAGGCCAAGAAGGCACGCTTCTACCGGAACGGGGACCGCTACTTCAAGGGGCTGGTGTTTGCCATCTCCAGTGACCGCTTCCGGTCCTTCGATGCGCTCCTCATCGAGCTCACCCGCTCCCTGTCGGACAACGTGAACCTACCCCAGGGTGTCCGCACTATCTATACTATCGACGGCAGCCGGAAGGTTACCAGCCTGGACGAGCTGCTGGAAGGTAGGAGGGGAGGGCGTCGCAGGCAGGTGCGGCGGAGCGCCGGCAGGTGCAGTGGGCCCGGGCCCGCACAGCGGGGAGCCTGCGGGGTGCTTTCCAAGCGGCACGGGAATTGATGCTTCTGTCTGCTTCTCTAGAGATTGGCTGGAGGTGGCGGGTGGGGGGCGGTGGGGTGCCCACATACACGCTGACTTTCCTTCCGGAGAGATTTGTCTCTTAAAGAAGGGAAAAATTTCCTAATGGTCAGAGGCCAATTGAGGCACTGGTGGCATGTCCTAAGATTGTTGAATTTACTTGTGTTGAAGTGCAAAATGTTTGAGAAAATGGTTCTCCCATGGGGAGCTGGGTAATCCCCTACTGATAAGCTCTGTTGGACCCTCGGTGTGGACCCTGGTGCAGGCACCTGTCATGTTCCAGTTTTCGGGGTCCTGTCGTGACTGCTGTCAGAAGCTGTGGTTGTGAAATGCTCTAGGTTGGCTTTCCTAGTTTGCTTTGCAGCAGAAGTTACTTGAGGTGAAGAGGGATGATCCTAATCAGCGGGTCTCAACCTTGACTTCATCTTCCAAGGGGACTGGGGACTTCAAAAAATACGGGACCATGATCCCCCAACCTCCAGATATCCTGATTAAATTGGTTGGGTTTGGGGTGTGGGTTCGGCGTCTGGAGTCTCCAAAGCCCCCACCACCCAGGTGATTCTCATGTGGAACCATGGTTAACAATCACTGTGCTAAAGGGTTTTCCACATGCGGTTGGAAAAAAGGTAAATCAAAGTCAATCTCTCCTGCCTTATCCTCTAGTAAGAGTAGCTAATTAGAGTGATAGAGGCTATTGGATTCAGCAGTGGGGCCTAATCATAAATTAGTAATTCTGCTGTGTCAACCGTGCCTGGGTCAGAGAGACTACTTGACTGTATGTTGGGTCATCCTTGAATTCCTGCAGTACTTATGTCTCATCCTTTTCAGGTGGAAAAGCCATTATCAGTAGTCTAGAACCTGTTTCCAGTTCTAAATAACACCCAGAAAGACCAGGCAGAACCCAAGTATGTGCTGACTGCGTGTTTACATACGGTCCGCTCTTGTGCATCTTTCTTAATGCAAATGGCACATTTCTTGTAGTCACAGCAGTAGCTTGGCAGGGAGAGGAAGCTGAACATCAAGCCAAAGGTTTTTCTTATATTATCTCAGCATGCTTTTCTGTCCTGAAGACATTATCCCCATTTTATAGATGAGGAAACTTAGGGAGCGTGCTTGGCCTCACAGTGCCTGCAGCATCTACTTTCTCATCTACAGTTTACCTCTCCTGAGCTAATGTAGCCACATCGAGGAAAACTAAAGGTGGTTGAGTTTGTCTATTTAGTCACTGCCATCAGAAGTTTTTGCTGCCTTGCCTAGATGGCAACCCAGCCAAAATTAAATTGACTCTTCAGTCTACATGTGTGCTTGTGACTTCACCCATTCTATCAGTCAGTTGTGTGTTTTGGTTTTAAGGGCTTCTTGAGGTAAGGGGATAGCTGGAGAAGTATAAAAAAGGAAGATACAATGTTCAAAGGGCCTTGTTTGCTTTTCTTAATCATGTTAAACACTTACAAGCAGTATTTGCTTAGCTATTTTAAAACCGAGTCGCCAATTTTTTGACTGACCCAAGATCAGATTTGCAGGATCAAGGCAGTGCCTGTTTGCTTAAGCACTTGTTACTCAACATGCCCTTGGGATACTGTTCCTGGTATGGTTTCTTAAGGGTCAACAATGTTAGTATCCTTCTCTAAAGAAATTTTAACAATGGATTTACTACGTAAAATTGACAATGTAAAGATGAATCTCATTATAGGAGAGATGATTAGATGAACATTATGCATGTTCATTAATAGGAGTACATAGTATAGATTGCGTCTTTTACCGCCCACAGCGTGCATGGCCACTGGGTCTAATTCTGCAACTGTAGTTTCAACTACAAATTGACTGTTAACAGTTTTCCTTCGAATCATTCACTGAGTTTTAGTGGGTGGGAATTTGGAATAAATATTATCTATGGAGTCCAAATCATACCAAAATATGATAAATAATATAACAAATATTTGCACAGCCAAAATTTTTTTATGGCTTTTCCCACTTGTTTGAAGAAGTTTTTAATGTAATATTACTGCAAAAGAAGAAAACTTGGGCACTTTTTTGTCATATGGAATTCTCTCTGACAATGGGTCTTTAATTCTTGAATTTCTCCCCAAATTAGTAGAATACTTTATAGTAATGCATTTTTTTTTTTTTTTAAGAAAAATATAGGTGCAGTAGCTCATGTCTGTAATCCCAGCCCTTTGGGAGACTGAGGCGGGTGGATCACCTGAGATCAGGAGTTTGAGACTAGCCTGACAAACAAAGTGAAACCCCATCTCTACTTAAAAAACAAAAAATACAAAAATTAGCCGGGTGTGGTGGCAGGTGCCTGTAGTCCCAGCTACTCAGGAGGCTGAGATGGGAGAATTGCTTGAACCCAGGAGGCAGAGATTGCAGTGAGTCGAGATCACGCCACTGCACTCCAGTCTGCGCGATGGAGCAATACTCTGTCTCAATAAAAGAAAAAAAAAAGAAAAAAAGAAAAATAGTCACTAATGCTTACTGTCAATCATTCCAGAATGTAAATAGTTTCAACTTTTATTTAAAATTGTGTGCTCAGATTTTTCATGTAGGAGAACTAAGCAGCTATCCGTGAAGTTATTTGCATTAGTAAAAATAGGTCTGTGATATATTCACCACATTGTCAACATTGACTGCTTTATTTCATTTGGGTTGATTATTTTTAATAAAGCTCTCTCAGGCAGTATTTTACAGCATTATGTTCAACTACGCTCTGCTTCTTCGATCCCATGAAACTTGTAGTTTAGAAGGTATGCTTTTTCTGAAATGTCTTGAGTGAAGAATAGAGAGTGATGACTCAAAACAGTAGGATGTGAGCATTCATTCAGAGCCCCAATCTCATTGAACTCAGATGACAAAAGATATTTGCATGGCCCAAATTATTTTTTCTTCTGCCCTTGACCTTGAGAGTCTCTGGAGACTAAAAGCTGTTCTAGTGTGAGCTGGCACTCCTCCAGCACTACCCTAAACCAACAAGCATCTTCAATTTATTGATTTATCCACCCTTGCTGGATTAAGTTAGAGTTGATGCTGTGCAGTCCTGTAATCCTGTTTATTATTTAAAACTAAATGGGGGACCTCTTCCTGCAGGACTGTGGCTCTTAATCAATATTGGGAAAATTAGTTGAACTGTCTTAAGCTGTGAGCCTGCTGAGCTCAGTATCTGTAATACCCAGCAGAGGATGTCCAGATGACTTGTTCTTCATCTTTCTTATTAGGGACTGATTCAGAATTTCTAGTCTTAGTTCCATTCCATGTGTCTTCTCTCCTTCTGAGCATTTTGAAATATTTGTAAAGTTTTGATGACCTAAAGAGATATAACCAAGGACAGTAGGAAAAAAATGCCTGACCAAGTCAGGATTCCTGAGTTCTGACTAGATTTGAGAAAAATTTCACCTCACTTCCCTGGCCTTGGTGTCCTTTTCTCTGGAATGAGAAGTTGGCAGACCACCTCTCTAAGTTAGGTCTCTTCTGGTTTAAAAATGTGTATGTACCCTTCATTATCTGAGGGGTTATGGGTGGAGCATATGATGGCCTGGGCTGCCTTTCCCTAGCCAGAACCCATCTTCCAGAAAATTGATGAGGCTTTACATGTCCAGATACCAATCACAGAATGGAGTGTATAGCTGTGATGAAGTGCTTGCCAAGAGTCGAAGGTATTAAGAGCTACCTATGTCTGCCTCTCTCATTCTAAAGTAAAATATCATTTTGTTATTTCTACCTTTTATCCCTTCATAAACAATGAACTGATTGTTTTTTGGCATATGAGAGAATTTTGGTTATTTCGATGATACTTTCCTTCATGAAGTTAACTTGAACATTTAAGAAAAATAAGATTCTAAAGAAATCAAGCACATGAAGTTTGAGGTCCTCCTACCAAACCTATCTACTGCATTTGTTTTGTTAGGTCAGGTCTTTGAAAGTGTTAAATAAACCAAAATATGTTTCTGCGAGTTTTTAAGTAAAAATGAATTTCCATAAGAACCTAGATTATACTTAGTTGTTTTTTCCTGAAAAATAAATTTTATAATAATAGAAACTGTGGAACTTATTACAGTAAGAAGGAAATAAACTCATGAATTATTAGGTATTTGCACATAGGAGTCAAAAATGGTGCACACGAAAGTCATACGTGGTGATTGGACTTGGAAAGTTAGTATTGAATCTTAGGTCTGCAAAACTTTCTTTACCTGCGAAACCCTTGGATTCCTAAAGGCCCACTTCAGATAACACCTATGAAGTCTCTTTCCACTTCTCTGTGCAGCTGGTCTCAAGTGGTTAGTTGAGGGCATACTATATCCTAGACATGGTCACAAGCTTACGGTCTCTTCCTTCAAAAAATGCATGTTCTCCTAGGAGAGAGATAGTAAACATACACACTCACGAGATGGCTTCAGCTAAAGTGCTGTAAATGAAGTGATGACATGGGGCAGGATGGCCATATTGGCCGGGGTGATGGGGAAGGCTTCCTAGAGGAACAGACTTTGGAGCCAAGGCCCGAGGTCAAGTGTATAACTCTTTCCTCTGCTTACAGCATTTTTCTTTACTTCTATTATAGCCCTTAGCTTTGAATCTCATGATCTATTGGATCTGTTTTTGTACTCAACTGAGAGAAGCCTGTGGTCAGGGATCTTAAATCAGTCAATTCATTGATTAAATAACCCAGACAATGATTTTACCTCTAAGTCCCTTAGTTGTCAAGGGGAGTTTTGTATGAATTAAGCTTTAATGAGATTCCTAGATATTTGTTAAAATTTTTTTTTGGAAGATTGGATTACGTTTTAGATAAACTTATAATTTGGGGGGAAATTCTGTGCTAACCATTTTGGAGGGAATGACTCTTCCATAACATCCTCTTCTATAAATCTGATT